TCCCAGCCTTGATGCCCTCATCTCCTTTGTGTCTGCCCAGGAACGTCTGGTCCTAACCAGTGAGCACTGGTTAGTGCTGGTTCCCTTCTGGGCAGTGTGGCCCTTCCAGACACTGCTGTTGCCCCGTCGGCATGTGTGTTGGCTGCCTGAGCTGACCCCCTCTGAGCGTGATGGTGAGTCTTCCAGCTGGGACCCTAGGGCCAGGCTCTGGTTGAGGGTGGCTCTGGTGTGGCCAGTATCTGGCCCCCAGACTGAGTCATGCTCTGGTTCCAGATCTGGCCTCTGTCATGAAGAAGCTCTTGACCAAGTACGACAACCTATTTGAAACTTCCTTTCCCTACTCCATGGGCTGGCATGGTGAGCCTTTTTTGAGTACCCACATCTAGCCTCAGCACCATTTCTCAGCTCATGGGGTCTAAACCATTGTACTCTAACTCCCAGCAGGCCTTGAAGCTCTTGCTGGGGAGGTAGGAACAGGGATGCTGGGACTGAGGGTGGAGCAGCAAACTTGGTGAAAGTGTCTCCCACATGCTGTCCACTGCCAGGGGCTCCTCTGTGCAGGGGACATTGAGAGATGTAGTTTTCAGGTATTTGGCCCGATTGGGAGTAGGGGCTTGGCTGAAGAACTAAGAACGGGCTCCGCCCAGCTATCTGTACCTTCTTCTTTCTGTCAGGGGCCCCCACAGGATCAGAGGCCAAGGCTGACTGGGATCACTGGCAGCTGCATGCTCATTACTACCCCCCACTCCTGCGCTCTGCCACTGTCCGGAAATTCATGGTTGGCTACGAAATGCTGGCCCAGGCTCAGAGGGACCTAACCCCTGAACAGGTCAGGACTTGGAGCATCCTGGGTTCCATTTTCTCTCCCACTTCCTCAAGGGATCCCAACAATCATGACCCTGAGAACCCCCATAACATCCTGGGCTTCCCTAGGGACTCAGGAGCTACTGAACCCCTTTACCCTTGGTGACTCTAGCATTCCCTATTCTAAGCCTCCCAATCCATCATGCCCTCCCCTAGTGTCTCTTAAAAAAAAACAAAATAAACAAACTCACTGCCATCGAGTTGATTTGACTCATAGCGATCCCTCCTTGGGTTTCTGAGGTGGTATCTCTATGGAAGTAGATTGCCCAGTCTTCCTTCCAAGGAGTGGCTGGTGAGTTTGAACCTCTAGCCTTCTGGTTAGCAGTTAAATGCTTTAGGTACTATGCCATCAGAGCTCCCTAGTGTCTCTTGGGCACATACATTCTGAGCTACCCTCATCCTTCCTGACTTCCTCCTGCTTCCTTCCAGGCTGCAGAGAGACTAAGGATGCTTCCTGAGGTTCATTACCGTCTAGGGCAGAAGGACAGGGAGACAGCAGCCATTGCCTGACCATGCTGACCACAGAGCCCTGACTCTTACCAAGGGAACCAGGACCTGGAGTTTGGACAGATGGAAGATCAACAAAACTGCTTCTCCAACTTTAATTATATGTTCTAACAGCAGAGGAATGTGAACTGTAACTTTTGGGGTCTGGAGTTAAATGCTGAAGGCATAGTTCCAGCCACAACTTTGCCTTCATCATTTTACTCCAGACCCCAAAAGTTACAATTTTTCTTCCGTTACGTGATCAGCCACTCAGTTGAAAGGGGAGTTTCCTTGGGGATGTGATCTGCCTCCAGTATATAAATGGATGATCTGGCAAAGTTCACTCTCTTGACCCTGCATTCTTCTGGTTGCCTGACCTCTGGTTTTTGGGACATAAGCCTGTCTGGCTTACAGATTTTGGATTTGCCGGTCCCCGTAACTCCGTGAGCCAGCAGAGGTCTCCAGGCTGTCACCTGACCTATGGACTTGGGACTTGCCAGCCCCCACAATTGTGTGAGCCATTTCCTTGAAGTAGATCTCATTCTATATATTTGTGTATACATGTCATTGGTTTTATTTCTCTACAGAATCCAGACTAAGAAATTTTGGTACCAAGAGTGGTTCTAGAGGAACTAAATCTTACGGATGAGTTCTCTGAATTTGTTCTCAAGTTTGGATAGATTTAAATGCGCTATTGACTGTTTCCACTAGTAAGGAGGGCACTGTCAATCCATGGTGTGATGTGGCAATAGGGATGTGCAACCTATCACCACCATTGTATCTTCTTAATCAAAACTCGGGAGGGACAAAACTCTGGGTGATCGTTTATTTGATACCTTTCAACATTTTGTCAAACTGACAAGTGTAAAGAGACTGGCTGGTTGCTCCTACTTTTTATTTTTTTGCTAGATAAAGTGGAGAAAGAAAAGGATGAATTCAAGGCTTCAAAGTCCTAGCCCAGCACTGATAAAGGACCTGAGAGTTGCTGTTTGTGCCCTGAAAGAAAGCTGTATTTCCTGTAGCTGAGATTGCTAAATATCAAACCCGGGGTTGTATCTTCCCAAACCCAACCCAAATCCAAGTTGATTCCAACTCATAGCAACCCGCATTGGGTTTCCAAGGCTATAAATTTTTATGGAAGTAGATTGTCTCATCTTTCTTCCGCTGAGCAGCTGGTGGGTTTGAACCACTGATCTGGTTAGCAGCCAAATGCCTTATCCACTATGCCTCCAGAGCGCCTTTGAGTCTTATCTTAAGAGTGGCTAAATTATAACACCCATTGATTCCCTAACCCGAAAGGTTTCTGAGGCTAAAGTGAGAACATTAATTGAGAAAAAATGGATGCTAAAAATTGAGATGGGGATATTTGGGCAGATATGGGTTAAACTGGGGACATTTAGCCTCTAAATTGTGTTGAATCATCCTTGCCAAGAGAACCAGTCCTTCTACCTTGATTTTAAGAGATTAATCCAGCTTTGTTTGCTAAATCACCTTTGCCACTGAAATCAGCTCTTCTACCTCTCTGGGGAGCTCTGGTAGCATAGTGGCTAAGGCACTTGACTGCTAACCAGAAGGTTGGTGGTTCAAACCCACCAGCCACTCCTCAGAAGGAAGGTTGGGCAATATACTACTGTAGTGATACCGCCTGAGAAACCCAAGGTGGGGTCACTGAGTTGGGTCCGACTCAACGGCATGTAACAACCACCACCACCTCTATCTGATGAGATTAACTCAGCTGTGTCTTGTATCATGTTTGCCCCTACCACCCATGTTTGCTTGTTTGCTTCTAGACATATAACTAGACTCAACTCTGAGCAAGCTTCAAAAGATAAGGTACAAAGTATGACCCATGAGGAGGTACGCTGCACTCCAAAAGAACTGCTTGACTTCTCTAATCCATATAAACAGAAACTTAGGGAATATGTATGGGAATGGCTAGTAGGGGTGATGAAAGGATGATGTTTAAAGAACATAAAGTTGGATTGGGCTGAGTTTATTGATATAAACACATTAAGCAGAGATTCTTCATTCAGTGTTTCAGGGGTTAGATAGGATCTTTGTGGAAGCAGACTGCCACATCTTTTTCCCATGGATTAGCTAATGGGTGGGTTAAAACCACCAAACTTTCAGTTAGCAGCTGGGCACTTAGTCATTGTGCCACCAGAGATCCTTGTAGGGCTGTGTACCAAAAAAAAAAAAAAAAAAAAAGACTGCCATCGAGTCAATTCTAACTCATAGCGACCCCCACTGGGTTTCTGAGGTGATAAATCTTTCGGAAGTACATTGCCCCATCTTCCTTCTACAGAGCTGCTGGAGGGTTCAAACTGCCAATCTCTTGGTTAGCAGTACAGAGGTTAGGTTATTGATGGATCCTTAGCTCAGGTCCTTCTCACAGTGGGTTCCTGAACCTTTCCTGTAGTGGTTTCCCCAGTTCTAGAATTCATAATGGAATAGACATACTCAACAACTGGCAGATACCCCATGCTGGATCCCTGACATGTAGCGTGAGAGCCATTATAATAGGAAAGACCAACTACAAGCCATTAGAACTGCTCTACCGAGGAAAATGGTAAACCCAAAGCAATACTGCATTCCTGGAGAAACTGCAGAGATCTTGCCACCATCAAGGACTTAAGGGATGCAGGGGCAGAGAATCCTACCACATTTCTATTCAAATCACCTATTTGGTCTATGCAGAAAACAGATGGATTTTGGAGAACGACAGTGGATTATTGTAAACTTCACCAGATGGTGACTCAAATTGCAGCTGCTGTTCCAGATGTGGTTTCATTGCTTGAACAAATTGCTACATGTCCTGGTACCTGGTATGCAGCTATTGATATGGCCAGTGCCTTTTTCTCCACAGCTATTTCTAAAAAGCATCAGAAGGAGTTTGCCTTCAGGCCAGCAATGTACCTTCATTGTCTTAGCTCTTCCCTACCCCAAATCTCTGAACAAAATTAATAGTATTTTGTCTCGCCTATGGATTTTCTTATTCCTGGCATAATGATGGCATCCTTCATGGGGTAGCCACACATCAGTTTAAGAAACTTCTGTGTTCTTGGTTTTGTGGAGGCCAGAGCCCCTTTCACCCCCACCTCGTATGTTAGCCCACCAAGCCTGGGCCTGAGGGTTTGTTGGGGAGATGTATAGGATCTTGATTTAGTGATTGGTCAGTGGCCAGACTCTGGGCTCCTGGCCAGAATGCTGACTTTGTGAGTGGCTGCAGCTTGACTCTGCTCCAGCCCATAGAGGCTGATGGGGTAGGTAGGGAGCATGCACATGCCTTTGTATCCTTGGCTTCTCCAGACTCCCATGGGCAGCATGTGTAGGTTCTGAATACCTGTTGCCTCTGGTAGGCAGGCAGTGCACAGAACAGAAACTAGCCCTGATGGGGAGGTGCTGATCAGTGTTAGGAACCCCTGGGCCTGGAAGGAGGATAGTTCTCAGAATGACCCTGTATTTACTCTTCCTCCTTGGACTGTTTTCCAGTGTGAGTATGGGCCAGCGTGGGAGCAAGAGGCCATGCAGCCCGGGAGATCTGACACCACCTCAAAAACTCACTGCTGTTGTGTCAGATCTGACTCATAGCTACCCCTCCTTGGGTTTCCGAGGCAGTATCACTACATCACCAGAGCTCCATCCAGGATAAAGGGAAACAATCAGCATGCACAGTACAGAAAGCTGAATGGAGTCCACTGAGTCATGGCCTTGGGGCAAATTAAATAGGATTGAAAACAAAGGAAAGAGTCACAGGATCATGGTTGGTGGCAGATGGATTCACCATGCATGGTGGTAAGTGGTACTATGGAAGAGGGAAAAGGACCATGGTTGGCTACACAAAATTGAAGACTTAAAAGGGTTACAGGTTTGGTTCTGGGCCTTGACTACCTACCTGGCTTAGTGGTGGTCCAGATAGGCTATGATTCATGACCATGGGGCCTGAGGCTTAGCTGCAAAGCAGCTACCAAACAATACTAAGACCACAACCTTAATTTAAATTAGAAAAGGACATGCTCAGGCAAGTTCCCTAGTTGTGTGAGCACAATCTACTTCCAAGCACATTCTTCCTAAAGGCAAACTGCCCCTCCCCAGGTCCATCCTGGGTCTTGTCTATGCATAGTCACAGTGTTGGTTTAAAGGTCAGAAAGAATTCAAATGGCATCTGAATTTAGGTCAAGACTCAAAATGGATTTAGGGCTCCCACTTGGAGCCTCGGGATTTAAGCTCTAATACAAGACCCAAAACCACAGCTTGAAACTAAAGCTTGGGGAGAGGAGCATGGGGTGGGGTGGAGCTGCAGGGTTTCTACTCCTTTATTTTAGTTCTGCCTCAGCTTCTAGTTTCTGCATCTGCACAAAGAGTCAGGTTGCTGAGACCTGAAGCGCTGTGTTCCAGGGCAAAGGCTGCAGGGTGCAGGGGTGGGTGTGAGAAGGCTTGCTGGAGGAGGTGACCCTGTGTCCTGGCTTCCTTGCTGCCTGCCTCGATGCAGCCTGGCAGGACCTGCCATCCCTGCGGTGCCTGCAGAAAGCCAAACCCACTGCTGTCACAGGAGCCTCGGGATCATTGCCAGGAAGAAGATGGAGAGAGAGGAATCCAGGCCCTGGGGCTTTGCTGGCTGTGAGCATTAGCTGCGTGCAGCCTGGACAAGCACTTAACCTCCCTCAGCAATTTCCTCTGGCAAATGGAAATAACCACTGGGAAGCAGCTTCCTCCCCTGCTGTAAAGAGGAGCAGGTATGGGGGGAGGGGCAGGAGTGGCCAGACAACCTGCCGCCAGGTGGGAGGGGCTGACAAGAGACTCAAACACCCCTAGTGCTGTTATCCTTCAGGCCACGTCTCCTCCAAACTGTGCCCACTCCGACCTGGACTAATGTACATTTATAGACACCCACAAACACATGCACATACTGCACGCTCACAGACACATGTGCACACACTGCTCACTCATGGACACTTAGACACAAACTTATAGCCACCCACACTCATGCAGATACTCATAGACATGCACACTCACTCACATAC